TTTATCACATCAAATAAAGCAGACATAGAAAAGACTGATGAAGTAAATCTAGATTATGTGTTAATACTTTTAAATAATTTCCAACACTTGAATCAGTGGGGCAGAACTGTATTTCATTATGCTGCTAAGAATGGTCATTTGAGTGCTGTTCAATATTTGCTGACTGTTTCGGATCCTGAAAAAGAAGACATTGTCAGTTATCAGTATCATAAATGACAGTGTATAACAATAAAATCTTGCCTATAGTGTGGCTATACTCCCCTTTATTTTGCAGTCAGTAATGGTCATTCAAAAATTGTTTCGTGTCTTTTAAAAAGTTCAAGAGTCAACAAGGATAAATTATATGGTTTGTTTGATGGGTGTTAAGATCATTTGAGCAATGAGCACATTAAATTAGAAAATTTTATTGATGTTTTATTGTTTATTTCATGCAGAATTTGGCCAGTCAAGTTTAGTTTTATTTTATGTTAGGATATTTTGAACAAACATCATTGTACATTGCAGCTAAAAATGGTTTTATTGATATTGTGAAACATTTGTTGCACAGCAAAGCAAATTTTAATATTCGTGATACAGTAAGTGCAGTATAAAAAGTCATGGTAATTGCTAAAAATTGTAAATATATTTGACACTTTTTCAGATTATTAATTTATGCTTCTAAATTTTAGTGCAAAAGAACACCTTTACACATTGCAGCTGAGAAAGGCTATGAAGAAATTGTTCAATTGCTTTTAAAAAAAGGAGCTAGCATTCTTGTTAAAGATTGTGTATGTTAATTATTTGAATTATAAACTGGCATTACCGGCACTTATACAGGCATCATACATAGTGAACAATGGAAATCCTAAAAAGGTGATGCTAACATCATACACTCCTTGTCATTATGGTATTGAAAGTGGGAATGCTAGAATAGTCGAATTATTGCTTCAAGGATCAACTCCCCAGTTGTTTGATATAACTCTACTACGAGTTCAGGTATGGCATGCCATATAGCTGGATTCATTGACGAGTAAAAAATTTGATGAAAACAGTAAATTTTCCCAGTTGGCGAGTTTTAATTTGACAAATAGTGCCCTTCGCGTACACATGGCACAAAGTACAAAATTTTTGATGGTTATAAAATTTGATGTTTTATTTTTAATAGTCAACTCGTCAAAAAAAACTTTCGTCAATTAATCCCATTATTTAGTATTTTTGCATGTGACTGTAAGGTACAGGTTGTCTGCTTATGGGTAGTATCATTGGTTATTGGCCTTGCCTACGCGAAGTATAGGTAGTTGTTGTGTGTGTCTGTCATTCATTCATTCATTCTGTACAACTGAAATTTGTCTTTAATAAACAATAACTTTAGCACAGCGTGTTCTAAGCTCCTATATCTTTCTTTTTGACTTGGAAAAGTCTTTCTTAACTGTTTTGTGTTGCTCAAACACAAGCTCTAGGTACAGAAGCTTCAAGTAAGAAAATCGAGTAGTTGAGCCAAGTTCCATTGTGTTGGCACTTTAGAGATAGCTGGTAGCATTTTTCAGTAGATTAGAACATGGCCTTCAAAAAGTATGAACAGATTTCTCTAAAAGGCTTACTTGATGAAGAATTATACTTACTCCAAATTTTTGAGGTCACTCATTTGTGAAGTGCTAGAGCAAAAACCTGCTGAGTTATAGATACTAAAGTACCTATACTATCTCAAATACACAAAGGCAGCAACTTTTCTTTCAGCAAGTTTATCATATATTGCTGATTAGTAAAGAAAAAGTGAAGTTTCTGTCTCACAGGGTCTTCTTGCTGCCATCATTGCAGTTGATGATGTAATGCCACACCTTTCAATCTACATGCATGGGAGGGGCTGGAGCTGCTTGCATGTATGTGCTGCAGTGCTGCTACTTCTGCAGGTATTCAAGAGTAAGTGCAACTGCAGGAAGCTAGTGTTGAGCAGACTCTCTTCATGCTGATAGTCAAACAGCTATTGCAGTGCAGGCATGCACCGTAGCAGCTATAGGGGCAAGGCCATGCACTGTAGGTGTCTCGTTGGTTTTGTTTTGCTACATTTATGCATATAAAACAATGAGATACCTTCGGTGCTTGGAATTGCCGCAATTGCTCTTGCATTCATGCAATATTAAAAGCAATAAATCATGGACTTCATCTCAATGATCATGATAATTATGATAGTTCTTATAGTGCATATTCTGCGCATAAAAGCTAACACCTATTATGATTGGACAGATACTGTCCTAAAAATCCGTCATTTTCTTGATGCATGTTAAGTAGAAAGTCCTTTTTGTGAGCCGTGTTCATCCGTTGGAGGTTAATTTGTACAGGTGTAGATGTGTGGGGACAGTAAATGTTGTCTGTTATATGAATAGAGGATCCGCTATACAGAGCTACCCAAAGGGCTGGCCTTATGGCCAGGACAAGAGAAACTGCACATTATAAAGAGATGTCTGCTAATTGGGGGTTCGTTTCAGAAAGGTTTGACTATACTCCCATTGCTTTACATAGCACTTCCAGTTATGATGCTAGTGAATGAAAAACAATGCGTCATATTGAGAACTGCCTTTGGGCTCCACCTGACTAATGTGGCTTCAGGCCATTGATCTCGAAGTGAGAGGTAAGTCAGGTTACTTGCAGGCCAGTTATGTATATAAGTTGTAGTTTCGTCCCGCCCCTTCACTACTTGCTGAGGAATCTGATTGCTCAATCGAACCACGTGTAGGGCAAGTAGTCATGTGACTGAAGATTTCTGTTTAAGACAAAAGAGGAAGAATTAGGACAAAATAAAGGACTGAAGGAGCCTTTAATGCACCCTGGACTTCTTTCTCAAGGTTTAAGAGCAGCATTATTATAGCAAAGTGGCGGGACAAGACTATAAGTTGCATATGAGTATAAGTATCGCCTATATTAAGTATCATTGCAATAAGTTTCAAAATTTAATTCGTAGGAATGCATTACTCTTCTTCAAAATGTAGTTCTAAAATCAAAAAAGTCGTCAATGTAATTCTATCTCATATTAACAACAAATGTTACAGTAATAAAGATGATATGGTATATCTATAGAGTGACTGTCGTGGCTAGTAAAGCCCAGACAAAATAGCTAAATAATCAATGGTTAGGTTGCTAAAAAGTTATTATCAAATATCAAAGAAAATTGATCGACAATTATGAAGGCTGAGAGCCAATTGAATAAAACATGTGTTAGAGTAATGTGCATATGCGTGGAAAATTATAATGATAATGAATGTATACTAGTAACAATAATTGTGATAATAATAATAACAATAATATCGGTAATAACATAATAATTTTTTGGTTTTGTTCACAATAATAGTAATAATAATAATAATAATAATAATAATAAGTTAATAATAACAATAATGATAAACATACCCATATGTTAATAATAGTATACCCTACATGACTACATGTACATCTATTTTTCAATACACGGCAAGTCCAACAAGTCCAATAAATTGTGTTCAGACAATTTTTACTCCATAATTTTAGGCTTACAAGTTACAGAAAAGCTGGTATGCAGCAATCTCAAATGCTGTATGCAAAGGGCATGCTGAAGTTATAGCACTTTTAATTCAAAGAGGAGCATTTGATGTAATGCCTAGAGTAAGTTACTAGATATATATGTACATTCAAAAAGAATCAGAATAATTATTACAAATGCATATTTATACTCATTGCATTAAGTTTCAAAATTTAATTTATAGGAATACATTACTCTTCTTAAACATGCAGTTCTGTATACTCAAAAAAAAGTCATCAATCTACTTTTATCTCATATTAACAAGAAATGTATTCAAATTGATATGGTATACCTATAGAGTGACTGCATCCATTTTCAAATATTATTTTAATATAGGAAGGAAGAAGCCCTATGCATGTTGCTGCAGAGCATGGATTAATAGACATTGCAGAGTTGCTTAGGAAACATAAAATAAGTGTTGATGATGCAGACAAAGTAAGAAAAATTTTTTTCAAATATCTAATGTTTCATATAGGATGGTTTACGACCACTCCATTATGCCTGCCGAGCAAGCCAAGTAGAAATGGTTGATTATTTGTTAAGAAATGGTGGTATAGAGGATCCTATGAAAGTCTCCAAAGAAGGACTTTCCCCTCTTGATGTCATAGCAGTGGAGTCAACTGCTCGCACAAAATTACTGCAACTCTTCCGTCCTTATGTCGACAGTTGCACTGACTATCCTATTGAAACTTATGCTAAGGTATTTATGTGTGGCTATTCTATTGCTGGTAAGAGCTCTCTCAGTCAAGCTCTCATTGATCGCTCCAAGAAGCCCCTTGGTTATAAGTTTAGTCCATTGGAAGTCGTTAAGGATGTGACACCATTTACTGTAGGCATTGATTTACACACTATCAGCAGTCCTGAGATTGGAAATATTGTATTACATGATTTTGCTGGCCACACAGAGTTTTACAGTAGTCATGCTGGTATACTTGAGAATCTGATGCTGCACTCACCTGGAGTATTTGTCATAATAGCTGATCTTACGAAACCACGTAGCAAAGTGCAAAGTGAATTGTTCTATTGGCTCAACTTTATCGAAAATGCATGTGCTAAACTACTTAAACCTTCTCAAGTTATTTTGGTGGGCAGTCGTGCAGACAAATGTCCCAATCATGGGTTAGAATTTAAAGCTGACATGAATGATATTGTAGAAGAGGCTGTTGTGAAGCAAGTTTTCAAAGGATATTGTGCTTTAGAATGTCATAAACCAGGTGGCATTGGCATGAAAGATTTTGTATCAATTCTTGCCACAAGCTGTAAAGAAGTTGTTGATCAATCTGATGGCATCAGCTACTATTGTCACTTCCTTTATTCCCTTCTTAAGGATCTCAATGAAGTTGCCATCACATTTGAAAACCTTTTAATCAATATTAAAGAGAATTCTGAAGTTACTATTCCTGATGATCCAGCATTCGTTTCTAATACTCTATTAACCCTCAGTGATAAAGGCCTCATCTTGTATCTGAAATCTAATGATCCATCTACTAGTTGGATAGTTGTTAATAAGGTCAAGCTCCTTCACGAAGTAGTGGGTATTTTATTTGCACCTGCCAGTATTGAACGAGTTCACAGAGATATTGCCAGTAACATTGGTATTGCTGAATTTTCTCAGTTGGAAAGACTTTTTGAATCTCAAAATCTTGATCCACATATGTTAAAAGGTTTTTTGATAGCACTAGAATTCTGTCAAGTTATTGATTCTGATGTTTTCGATTCATCTTATGATTACTCTGAAGAGCTTCTTTTCTTTCCAGCTTTGATTGCCGAGAAACAACCAGCAGAATTGAAGAAGGCTCCATCAAGGGGTTGGTACCTAAAATGTACTAATCCTCATAAATTTTTCACTGCTCGTTTTCTTCACATATTAATTCTTCGTCTAGCTTTATTTCATGTTAGCAGTGGCAAGAAATCTGAAGAGTTAGATCGATGCTGTACCGTATGGAAAGATGGCATTCATTGGATAAGTCACAACATAGAGGTGTTAGTCCAAGTATCCTTAGATGATCGTTGCATTACAGTTCTCATATCTGACAAAGATAGCCTAATTGCACAAAAAATGTTTGCTTCAGTAATATCTGAGATACATTCACTGATGAATAGGCTAAGTCCATGTGCAACAAAGGAATACATTATCAATCCTTCTCAGTTAAAAGTAGTTAGCAGCTTAAAAAAAGAAGATTTGTCTCTCTTTCTACTTCAAAATATAGCTCAGGCTATGATTCTACGGCAACAAGTGTCTGACGAAGGTGGACAATATGATCGTTCAATTGATATCATTTTGGACAGTTTTGAGCCTTATTTATCCATTCCACCATTTGTAACACAGGAGCTATTTAATGCTGAGCTTTCCAACAATAAAATTCACCAATCACGTTTGGACTGCCTACTCCTAGTCTGTCCTGATATAATGAAAGGTGCTGATTTTAATTCTTATAAAGAAGTAAGGGATCACATTCAATCTTTTAGTATTTTTACAGGCCACAATGTAGTGGTAAGTTGTATTTACTCATGAATTTAGTAGAATCTTCCATAGAATCTGGCTTTGTCTTGTGATACTGCAACATCCAAAGAAAAGAAGCAGTTGTCTGATTTACTCACAAAACCACTTTCTTTTGAATTTAAAGGTTAGTATTATAGTATAGTTATAATAATGCATGAATCATTGCTATTTTTTCATTAAATAGAGAGAAAACCATTAAAACAGGAGATGTTAAAGTTATTATCTGGCGAAATATCTAGTAATGAATTGTATACATTTGGTAGTTATCTCAATTTGCCAAGTGACTTTATGAATAGTTTGACACAATCAGATGCATTTAGTAACCAAAAAAATTTGGCACAAGTGGTTGAAATGTGGTTATCAAAGTCTAATATTAATTGCACTTGGAATAAAGTGATTGAGGCTCTTGATAATTTGAATAATGGGAGAGCTATAAATAAAATTAAAGCATTCTTAGGAGAGAATGCAGCAAAAGGTATGACTTTTTATCATTTACCATCTGACTGTCACTTGTAATAGGTCTTAATTGTACTGAAATTGGTGATGAAACACAAGATGAAACTGATGATGAATCACAAGATGAAACTGATAGATCAAAGTCTCCTGAGACACAAAGCAGTGAGCAATTTTGTCATTAAATTTAGTATAAGTACATTGTTAATTGCTTTATACCTTCTATTAATACAGAAAGTGCTACCAGTGTACCACTTGTAGCATTGACTAGCACACCAATGCCCAGCACCTCCAAAGCAGACTCAGTTTGTACTGATGAACCAAGTATGCCTTTTCCTAATGACATCTCTGTTATTAATACTGGAACTTCTGGAAGTAATACAAGTACTCCTCATTCATCTCCACAAAAAGGAACTACAAGTGTGTGTGTTAAAATATATTTAACTAAAATGATTGTCATCATAGCCTCTGTTGACATTGATTCATCATGCAAAGATAACACTTCCAGCAGAAGTAAGTATATATTAACGTTATGCTAACAGATTAGTGATTTTTGATTTAATCATAGGAGCAGCTTCTTATTCTCAATTTCATTCCGTTGCTAACAATACTTTTGTAGCACATGATTCCAGTAAGAATTTCATTGTATTCTAATTTGCTATACAAACTTGTAGGCTCACTGCAACAACAGCACATCTATACCATGATAGTTGTGTCTATACATGTAATCACTTTTCTTAATGGTCTGTTTGCGAATCCGTGGCATCATTCATCTATGTCTTCTAATACTAGCAGAGTATCAAGTAAATAAATATTATCACTATATTATATAAGAAATAATGAACTTTGATATTGTATTTTATGTCACTGCAATTTTTTTTGATTTTTACTAGATGGTGTTTTAATGAAGTGCTCATCACACTTGGGTCAGTTGCCAAAACTTGCTGGATATTTAGGAATACCTGACAGTTGTTTACAACAGATTCAGAACGACTTCACAGACCCAGACATACAAGGATACCGTCTGTTGAAAAAGTGGAAAGAGCTCTATCCTAATTCATCGCTTGCTGACCTTATTGAAGTATTTCAATATTTAGGCCTTAATGAAGCTGTTAAAGTACTTGAAGAAAATTAACTAATCAATTCTATTTGCCATGTCATTATTTTTTGTAGTCTGTGACACATGAAGCTACTTGTTATTTTTATATTAAAAAAATTATTTTGAATTGACATATACATGTATACGATAAGCCAATCAGTGATTGTTTTATTATAAATAAACTATGACAAATAAGGATGATAAACATAATACAGCAGA